GTCCACCGTCGGCGGATAGCAGTTAAACTCTTTTTTTTTTTTACTTTTGCTGTTTTTAGCCTAAAGATAAAACTCTGATAATCGTTGCTCAAAGCTCACTAGCAGAAAAGCTGCTGAAAAAATTCATGGATTCATTTGGGAAAAATTGAGCTGACGTTAATGAAGAATGTGTTTCTCAGCAGCTTTGGCGCTTCCATTACTTCCAAATCTCGAGAAAAGTTCAGCAAATTGTATCTCAGTATGTGCTATTTTGCTCTAATTTACTTTATTTTTGTTCCCTAATTGATGTGAAATTTTGCTAATAGAATTGTAGTCGAAAGGATGAAGATTCAAATAAGGGTCAATCGGTGAAACTGACATTACCAGCTTATAAATGGCGATTAGTTATTGCTTACGACGGTACCAGATTTTCAGGTTTCATTCTCTTTTTCGTGTTACTTCAGATTGAAAATTGAGGGTTGAAATCTCTGAATTTTTTAGTGTTTATACTCTAATTAGGTTTTCATGCATTCATTTTATTTTAACAAGTTGGTAGGTTACTGCTCTCATTGTTAATATATCAGTTTTGCCTTCTTATGTAGTAGATAATTGAGGTTGAGAGTTTGTTTAGTGCTGTAAAATCTCAAAATCGTGTTTACTGGACATAGTTCATTTTGCTAAGATTGTACTACATCCATTTGAATCGAATTACTATTCGGAGAGTTAGTAACATTCTTTGCTTGTGATGTTAATAAATATCTTTCCAATCAATTTGTTTCCCTATGTGAGGAGTTGTGAGAGGTTGGCTATAGTGGGTACGAGGAGAGGTATAGGTAGGACGCTAGAAGTATTCACGAGAGATGATTAGACAGGATATGACGTATCTTACAACTTACTGAGGCCATGGCCTTAAATAGGATATAGAGGTCACGGATTAGGGTAGAAGGTTATCGAGTAGTTTATTTTGGCAGGATAGGCTGGGTGGTAGTTTGGAACACCGTGTCTTTCGTAGTATTAGCATTTTTTTCTCGTAGTTGTTGTTTTTTTATTTCTGTTTCGTATTATTTTGATGTTGATAGTGTTCCCTTTCTCTGGATGCTCTTTATTGTTTCCCTTATTAGTTGACATGTCTTCTTTACATCTGAATCAACCTCTCTACCTTGTAAAGATCTGCTTACACTATACCTTCCCCAGACCCATCAATTTGAAGTTTAAAACTTGAGAGTTTTAGTACTGTTTTTGATGTAGTATCTAATGTATGCTATAGAAATAGAAATAAACAATACCCAATGTTAAACTAGAAATAAATTAAGTGAACCATGATGAAGTGAACTAGGCAAGTCAAACGGTGTAGTAAGATTTTGAAGGTACCAGTAATTGCAATTTTGACACCTTACCATTTGTTCTCTGTTTCTCGATTTCTTCCTAGCATGTGTATGTAGGTAATTTGAGTTTGTTTTTCTCTGAGATCATCCTTTTTCTATTTTTTTGATCTTTATAAGGCACAATGATTTCTAAGATAATAAGAAGTTAAGCTTACCTTCTAAATGTTTTTATACTTCTTTTATTGCCTATATTTTTGCGCCTGTATGTTGGGATACAGTTTTGCTCTATTTCTATAATCCTGAATGATGAGTATCCTGTAGGATGGCAGTATCAGCAGTCGACACCAACTGTACAGTGCATTTTGGAAGAAGCTCTGACTAAAAAAACGAAAATAAACCGTAAAGAACTTTGTGTAGTTGGTGCGAGCCGGACAGATGCAGGAGTTCATGCATGGGGTCAGGTCTGCTTTCCCTGTCAATGGATTCTCACTAACCAAGAGAAATGATCAAAATAAATAGACTTAGAACCAACTTTGGCTTTCAGGTGGCACATTTCATTACACCTTTCAACTATGAAACACTAGACGGCGTTCATAGAGCTATAAATGGTCTTCTTCCTTCTGACATCAGAGTTAGAGAATTTAGCCCTGCAGGACCTGAGTTTCATGCGCGTTTCTCTGTTACAAGCAAGATATATTGCTACCAAGTATATAATTCCACTATCCTGGACCCATTCTTGAGGCACTATGCTTACCATAGTGAGTATAAACTCAATGCTGATGTCATGAGAGATGCCGCAAAGCATTTCGTGGGGAAACATGACTTTTCTGCCTTTGCCAATACATCACGAAATGACCGGGTGCCAAATCCAGTGAAGACGATATTGCGCTTTGATGTTGTTGAAAAGGTACTATATTCATCCCCTTACTGATATTAGACTTATCAATTAGGTTACATGGCTTGCATTGAGGGTGGGTTTCTTCGCCAACACAAAATACACTTTGAGCTGGCTCACAGCTCAAGGTACATGCATATGGGTTTCATATCAAAATTCGTTCATTAGGTGCATCAGGGCTTCCCCAAGCTTAAGAAACTCAACGAGTCTGTATTCTTGAAGTTCATGCTAACAAATTCCAAAAATAAAGAAGTACAATTTTTTTATAAGCCTCACCTATATCCCATTCTATTTGACATATTTTGGCTAGGCATGGAAATTAAGAATTTAATCTAATTCTTTTCTTTATGGGTAATAGCATGAGTAATGTATTAAAGAAATTGAAAAAAAAAGAGTTGCCTTTGGATAGAAAAAACCCATTACATCTTAACATGAGGATGACTTTGAGAATGTCTTATAATATTATTGTTTACGAAGTGTGTCTATATCGTAGTACATATGCACACACAAGGCGGAACAAACAGAGTACATATCAACACTAGTAGTATTTATATTGGAACTGTTCCTTTGAAAAAAAATTATAGCTCCATAATGTTAAGAAGTATCTCTGATTTGTAAGTTCTAAAATGCCCTACCGAGTAGCAAATATATGAACATAAGATGGCAAAATACAAAAGAAATTTAGTTTTACAATTAATAGTGAGACTATCTTATCCTAAATGCAAATCCTCCACATTAGGCTATCTTATATGAGCGGGAAAATGGAGAACAATGGACATTTCCCCCCTTAAAAAGTTTTTATTACCCTCTACCCCTTGAACTATTCACAATGTTATGAGCACCCACCCCGGGTCCACCATCCAAACCATGGGATGATGGAAGATGTCCAACCTTCTATAACTTGGATTTATGCCGCGTCAGTAAAGAACTTCTGTTAAGATGGGATTTCTGTTTAACAAGAAGGATAAAAAAATATGGTGTTTGATACAAAAAACATTCAAAGATAGAGTTCAGTCCCTCTCATATAGGTCTGATCTTACCGACTTTTCACAGAAGTTGATGGCTGCATATATTGCTTTAATTATTTGTACTACTATATCGTAAGATTTGGCAAATTCTTGGTGCTTGGCAAATATGCTTGTTTTTCTTTATCAATATAACTCTTGTGCTTTTTCAAAAAAAATGTTTCAGGCTGCAGTTTGTATGATTGTTTACCCAGCGTAACATAATATAAAAGTGAAAATGAAGGAAAAAGCATAGTGTTACTGCTGCGTCTGACTTTCACAATCACCCAGCCACCACAGACTTCGAATCTCACACTTTTCGTCCTTCCAAAATTGATTTATTGCTTTAGTTTTCTGTAACTCGATTTCGATGCTCATCTTACGCAGTGTGCTTGAGAAGGGAACATTAAAGGAAAGAAATGACATAGATGAGGAAGTACTTGAGAGAAAACAAAGGGAAAAAGAAAAACGCCCAGAATAGGATTAGTTGTAAATAATGAAAAGAAACAAATAGGGGATGTCAGACTTAGCCATGTTTGGTATAAGCGCCACCTGACTTAGTTGGTATTCATAGCTTAATGACGAAGCCAGTGCTGAGAGCGTATGAAACTGCAGCCATTGAGGCATTACTTGTCATATGTCTATCAATAAAGTTTTAAGTTTGATATCTTGTTGTGTTTTTCTTTAGGGACCTCTTTTGCGGCTAGAAGTTGAAGGTTCTGGTTTCCTATATAGACAAGTTCGGAACATGGTAGGTAATCCATAAAGAAAAAACTTCCAAGTATTCGTCATGATTTCAGGACTGAATCTCAGCTGCTCTTGAGCGGTAGCACTGAAGATAATGTGTGGTGATTTTTCTCAAAATCTTTTGCAGGTCGCTTTGTTGCTTCAAGTTGGACGGCAAGCAGTTCCACCAGATATTGTTGTTAGGATTTTGGAATCTCGTGATAGGAAGGAACTTGCTAAGTATACCTTGTTACTTCCACCTCATGGACTCAGTCTCGAGACTGTCAAGTATAATGAAGAACATCTCATACTTCCAACAGATTCCCCAGCTAGTAGCTTTGGTAGGCACCATAGTATAAGCAAATGTAAGGTGCTATTCATTTGACTAGCTGAGAATCGAACAAAGAAGGAATGCAGAATGGGTTCTGCCCTTCTTTGATAGATACTCATTCGTGAAAAGAATTTTGCGCCAGTTATATGTATCCGTTTTTTTCTTAATGGTACTTTTTATGGTTGCTGCAAATATTGATGAAAACCAAGTCAAGATTTCAGCACTTCCAGTCTTGGTAACTATTGCTTGAATGCATGGCAATAGACAAGAGTGCCAACCACTCAATACTATCTCGCGCTCTGCGTGCTCGTCTTGCAATGCTTGGGGTCGTGTTATCTGTGGTTGCTATTATTCCGTAGATACATCTGAACAAGCGTCGTGTCCTGGATTAGGTGTGATTTCCTGTTATTGAGTTAAAATTGCATTTATCTCTGATCTTTTATAGGTACAATAGTGCACTTCCCTGCAAATGGAAGTATTATCATTTGGTGATTGTCTTGTCTGTTGTTTTTGTATCTGAATTTTGTTTCTTGAATAGCTTAACAAAGCTTGAAGCTTCTATCACAGGATCTGGCATTTTAAGGGTGTGTTCGGTCCAATGTTTTTCACGTTCAGTCCTCTTGAAAGTAGGAAAAACAAGTTTCACAGGTGACCTTTTACATCGATCGTAATTTATGTCCTCCCCAGCCTCCATCCCCACCGCTGCATACCCCTACCCCACAATTTTCAATCTCTTATAATATTTGACTAGATTATATACAGATGCTTTTACGATAATATATTTTACTCACATAGGCTCTTTTTTTCATTTTCTTTTTTAATTATTTAAATATGGCTTCGGCTTATCCACATCTATTTACATCAAGTTAATAATTGCATATTGGATAACATATCAATCTGGATAAAATGAATGAATATTTGGTTACTGAAATCTATAATTAAATGCAAATCAAATACAAAAAACTCTGTGATTTTCATTGATCATGGGGATTAGCCAAAAAAAAAATTCTTGTTATGTGTTTTTTTTTTTTTTGGGAGGGGGAGGGGTATGTATAGTACATCATCAAAATTTTCAAAATCTTGTTTTTTGGGCGTCAATTTAGCCACCACATGAACAAGATAATGATAAAAAAATATGTACAATATGTGCCTTGGTTTAATTAAAGTTCAAAATAGAACAAAGATTTATGTTCTAATGGCTTTGGATTTGTCCAAAATTGACCACATCACTTGAACATCTTCATATCCACAAGCCATTACTTCACCTTGCAAATCTACTACATGCTTATCTTGTTCTGCAAATTAACACAAAACAAAACATTTGTTAAAACAAGATCAAACCAATCAGGAGCCGATTCAGAATTTAAAGTTCATAAATTTTTTCTCGATTTTATCCCCCTTTTGGATAACTTAATTCTAAATTAAATCGAATTTCAAAAGACAAATACGAGATTTAAACCAAAACCATCATCTCTTACACCTTTTTTTTTTTTTTACAAAATGTTTAATTGATTTGAGCTAATAACAATAAACTCGTTCTAGATCTACCTCTTGACCAAACACACTATGCATGATAACATGAACTATTTCTGCAAGACTCTCGACTTAAGTAACGCAAACACATAGACTCTGTATTATACACAAATTGTACATACCTTCTTCTTGTGACTTCTTTTCCCTTGGTGAATCTCTTGGTGATTGTTGATTATTATTGAAAAAAGTTCTAGCTTTTCTAAATGGAGTTGTAATTGTTTTGACCCATTTAGTCATTTTTTCCCTTTTTGTTTTGATATAAAGCGTTGTTATTTTTGCATCTAACTCTCAATTTTCTAAGAACAAAAAAGAGTTTATATATATATATATATAGTGAGAGAGAATGTAGCATCTCACCTAGACTATAATATGTAACATTTAATTAAAGGGATATTGTGGGAGCCATAATATTGCAGGCAAGATCCGTGAGATAAGCTTTATGTACTCTCACATCTCTTTCATTTTATATTTCTTTAATCATCCGATAATCAAAATTTATAAACCTAATTAATTCAAACATATCGTGTAACAACTTCAATATGAGATAAAACGCTTTATTAATATAAGCTCACATCGTATTGTTGAAGAAGAAGGAAGTCCGCTTCGTTGGACCTGTTCTTTCAAGATGTTTCAATCCTCAGCTTCCACTTGTTGCAGACACGTCAATCAGTTGCGTCGAACCTGTTCCTTTGACAGGTTTCAATCGTCAGTTTCCTTTCTTCTTCAATACTTATAACTTTAATATGAGATAAAAATACTTATTATTAATACGTATTCATACAATATCTACAAAGATTAAAAAAAATACTTAGTACGAATATGTAAAAGTCAAATTGAATTATCTAATTATATCTGATATTTGAAGTTTATTGATTAAACTAATATGCAAGATCAATATGAAATTAAATAAAATGTTTAATACATCTTTTTTCTATTTTTATAATAACATTCGAGATATCTGAATAAGAATCGAGAATCGTAATCCACCACTCCCGTGGTTGGTCTTTTTCTCTCTCTTATTTTAATTATTATTATATTGCCTTATCTCTGCAGTTCCAAGTTTTGGTGCCGACTGCCTCATAACCACATGGCTACGGAACCCTTGCACGTGAACATTTTCTATCTTCTTGAATGCGACGTTACGAGATCGATCGCACGTTATTTATCGTGTTTTTCTTTTACATGTTTTCGAAGAAAACACAAATTAAAATAATTTAAATGGAAATTATGAAATGAAATATTGTATTCTCGTGAAAGTTTAAATAATTAATCCGTTGAATTATTAAGATATGATTTTAAATATAATTTCCATTTAAAATAAAATCAAATATTATTTAAAAAATTGTAATGATAAATAATTTGAGACGAGTAAAGTAATGATTACGAGCTCGAAAATCGAAGGCGATGACAAGTAACGCCTAGCGTACAACTTGTGTACTTTGGTATTTTGACCTTTTCTATGAAATCATTCACATGGTGGTACCCTAGGTTAGGGACAAAGTTGACTTTACTTACAAAGTATACACGTATAGTTATTTGAAAAAGCGTTTGATTGACGTCAATTTTATGTTTATCAAGAGGTAATTTACGTTTTATATGATTAACTATAGCTAGGTATGGTAAATACGAAATGATTTGTAGGTCCAAAAAGTAAAATTCTAGATTTAATAACATATAGAAAAGAATTTTTTTTAAAACATTATTTAATTTTAGTTTAAAATATATCAAAATTATTTAAATGATATTATAGGAATTATAAATATAGTGACTAAAGGAGGGAATTTATGAAAATCAAATTCATAATGTTAAAGTAAAAAGATAATAAAGAGTGCTCTTCATGTGTAACAATCTTTCTATTAATTAATAATAAACTTAATGATTAAAGTGAGTTGAATAATATAAGATTAACATTTTCATAATATAAGATTAACATTTTTATAATACAAGATTTATTTCGTTAAGCCATTCGACTTTCGAGTACCCATAATTAGAATAAATTCAAATTTGTGAAAATAGAAGAAATTTTTTGAGTCTGTAAATTAAATTACTTGTCTATACGTACTAAAGAGATTATAACTCTCTCACTTTTGTTATGAAATTCAGTTACTTTCTCTCGAGATAGAACAAATAAATTTTGTTCGGACAATTTTTTATATTTTCTAAAATTAATTATTACAAAAACAAAATTTATTATTATTATTATTATTATTATTATTGATCCTACCAATTATATAACAACTGCGTGCATTCTGAGTTGTAGAATTTCTATAACGAATATATTAATTATTCCAAGAGAATCTTAGACATAAAAAATTAAATAAATATAAATGTTGGTTAAATTCAACTAACTTTATAGTTGAATGAATCTAATCGTAATTTTGTTGGTGGTAAAATTTATGTCCATAAATATAAAATTAAAAAAAATTATAAAAAATGAGTGGCACATGTTGAACTTGTATAAAATCACGTTATTTTCTGTGAGGAGCCATGTTCTTGATACCTTATGTTTGTCCCCTATAATTTATTAATTATTTTTTGGGGGACTTATTTTATTTTATTTATAGAAATATATCTAATTAAAGTACGTATAATTGTAATGAAATGAATATCATTTATTCATATATTTTTATTTGTATATGTCGAGTTTGAGTTTTCGATATGAAAATAATTTTATTGAAAAAATTATTTTCTTAAATAAGAGTTATATCAATTATGTGACGTGAAATATAAATTACTCGAGGTTCAATATAAATATATATCGAGAAAAAATAACGATAATAGGAAAGTTATCAAGATATATGTACTTGGGAATTGGAGGGATAACATAAAGTAATATTTTGATATCCCTTGTTTCAGAAGGTTGTTCTTCATCTAGATAAGTTTATATATTTTATTTTATTTATCTATTCGGAATTTATTGGTCGATTAATTATTCGTGATGTACAAAGCCTAGTATGTGCTTCAATTTTTTCTTAGTGTTTTTATAGCTCGAATACAAAGTATCTTATTAAGAATATAAAAAATCTCATCCATTTTATCGTATTTCCCTAAGACTAAAATATGTATAGTTTCCTTTTGTCGTTATATTGAGTAATTGATGTTTATATTTAGTCTAACAAAGGAAAATTCATGTCTGAATTTAAATTCTGATTAAGAATCAATAGAAATATTTATCACTCCACAACGACAATTTCGATTTTTGAATAATATACTATAGTCACACTTGGAATATTCAATTCATTTAAAGCTTCCCTACAATATTAATGTTTTGTTAGGTATTGGTTATGTCTAGTTAGACAGAACATATGAATTCATTAATTAAACAATGCAACTTGATGTGAATTATGACAATATGGTATTATATTTTCAATTCCTTTAATTTTTTTTTAAAAAAAAAATTCAATAGCATAACTACTTAAACTAATTTATGAACTTTGGAATATAATATTTTACACTGCGCATGACTTTGAAAAAAACTATAATAAATCGAGTCGATGCCTTTCTATTAAGCCTTTTCATTTCGTAACACTGAGTCAAGATTTAAATTTTCAGAGATGAATCATAAATGTTAGTAACACTAAAAAAAATTTATAAGACGGTATTTTAAATAGTTGAAGTTCATGTGGAAATAATTGAACATTAGTCATATATATGTACATGAACTTTAGTTATATAAAAACATTATATAAATAAAAGTTGATACTAGTTAATTAAATAGTGGAATCAAGATTGGGTATTCATGTACTTTACCCTCTAGTACTGAATTTGAAATTTAATTTTTCATATATTATTGAGTTCTGATCGAAAGATTATTTGTGCACTCTATTGATTTAAACTGTCGCAAAACAAAAGCATATATACATAGGCTAATTACTAGAGTATTAATCTAATTAATGCTTAAATTGTTATACTAATTATAATATAAAAATTGATCTATCGCTTTGAATTGGTTTTGGTTAGCTAATCAATTGATATGTTTAACAAAAAGAATCTGATGATAAGCTATTTATAATTAAATAACTAAAATTCCTTTAACTTTTAAATTATTTTTTTTACAAATTTAATCGTATATTTTTAAAGAAAAAGAAAAACTACAACTATAAAATGAATAGGAAGTTAGAGTTTCGTTTCAGAAAAAAAGATATTTGTGAATTAAAAACAATAATATTAATTAAGGATAGAACGAAAAAGTATTTCTACGCCGTAAAGTTACAGGAGTGATCATTTTGTAACTTTAGATTAATTTTAGATTATAAGAACTTAGACTTATATAACGTATATCAAACACTTGAAGAAAATCATAGTTTGTCATAATATTTATTATTTATAATAGGGCTACTTTCACATATAGCAAACAAAAAATTCATATTTGTATGCTATAACAAACTTTGCATAATTGCGCTCCATAGCAAACATAAAACTGTATAATTTGTTATACATATACAATTGTATAATTCGTTGGCCTAAATTGTATAATTAGCTGGCCTATTTCGCTGCAATTGTATAATTTGTTTTGCATACAGTTGAATCGAATTAAAATGTATGTATATTGCATAACTATAAGTGTATAGCAAGAAGATATATGTTTTTCTCGCTTTATACAAAAACAGAAACACAATATATACACTTCTGTTTTATAAAGCTAGAGAAAATTGTATTTCACTGCAATTGTATAATTAGCAATTGTATAATTCGTTGGCCTTTTTCTCTGCAATATTTGAGGTAAAATGTTTGTAAATTGTATAATTAAGTGTATAACACGAAGATATACATTTTTGCATGAGTATATACAATTTTCTCTCGCTTTATACAAAACAGAAACAGAATTATACACTTCTGTGTATAAAGCGAGAGAGGCGAGCGAGATTTTGGGAAGAGAGACGCTGACAAATTTTAGCTAATGTTTGCTATGGAGCACAATTAAATTAAACCCTAGCTATTCCATTTAATTTAGGTTATTAGTTTGCAATTATATACAATTTTCCCTTTATAATATCTATTGAGATGGTGGATATTTTACTCAATTATTTATTAATACATGCATATAGATGAAAAAAACTTCAACCAAATGAAATGAAACATCATAAAAGGCCAGGCCCAAGTAAAAAGACATAATGGGCCCATTATTTAAATGGGCATACTACGAAGCACAACGGTCTCAATTGTAAGGCCAGGCCCAAATGATAAAAGGACTCCCAAGTCCAGCCCATCTCCAGTAGTCTTCAGCCCATCTCTAGCAGATTTTTTTCTTATCTCATCCAATATGAATAAAACACATGCACTCGACAAGTTACCGTATTCTCGAAGGATATTTCTCGTGGCCCGTAACCTATCGGGCTCGAGGCCCAATATGTTTTCGACTT